GACCTGAGCTAAAGTCAGATGCTTAACCTACTGAGCCACCCAGGCACCCCACATTTAACTTGTTTTCAACTAAAACCTCTAAGTTTTTAAATTATTATTATTATGTAAATTAAAACAAAAAAATGGAATAGTGTAATGAACTCCCATTGACCCATCACCCAGCTTTAACACTTACCATCATTCTCTCATTCTTATTTCCTATACTTCCACCCATTCCTCATCCTCTCACTTGTTATTGTTACTTTTAAAAGTTGTTGGAGTGCCTGGGTGGCTCAGTCAGTTGAGCTTCTGATTTTGGCTCAAGTCATGATCTTGGGGTTCATGGGTTCGAGCCCCATGTTGGGCTCTTTGCTGACAGGTCAGAGCCTGCAGCCTGCTTCAGATTCTGTGTCTCCCTTTCCTTCTGCGCTTCCTCTACTCTCTTTCTCTCTCTCTCTCTCTCTCTCTCTCAAAACTAAATAAAAAAAATTTTTTAAGTCTGTTATTGTTTTTTTATTTTAGAGCGGGAGTGTGAGTGGGGAAGAGGGGCAGAGGGAGAGGGAGACAGAGAATCCTAAGCAACTTCCACACTCAGCGCAGAGACCCACATAGGGCTCGTTCCCACGACCCCGGGATCATGACATGTTGGACACTCAACTAAGCCACGCAGGTGCCCCTGTTTTTTTGTTTGTTCATTTTTAAGTAATCTCTATGCCCAATGTGGGGCTCAAACTCACAACCCCAAATCAAGAGTCCCATGCTCTACCTACTGTGCCAGCCAGGTGCCCCAAAAAGAGTTCTGATAAAATTTACATATATTGGAAATGCAATACATGCAATCATGTACATCCACATAAAACTTACAGCCCCACAATATAGAACATTTCCATGTCTCCCGAAAGTTCCCTCCCATCTGGTGCCAGTCAGTCTCTCCCATCCATCCCAGGCAACTATTTTTTTTTTCATTATTTTTTCACATTAGATTAGTTTTGCCCCTTCTAGAACTTAATATACACAAATGGAATTATATACAATGTATTTCCGATAGCAAATTGTATACAGTAGCATTTGCATTTTTGTGATAGATCCTGCTTGGTCATGATATATTATCCTTTTTGTATACCTCTGAATTCAGTTTGCTAATAGATTGTTAAAGATTTTTGCTGTCAGCACAGAGCCCAACGCGGGGCTCGAACTCACGGACCGTGAGATCATGACCTGAGCGGAAGTAGGCTGCCCAACGGACTGAGCCACCCAGGCGCCCCTATGATTTCTTTTTTTTAGTGAAGTTTTTTTTAGTTTTTGATATCAGAACTATACTGGCCTCACATAATGAGTTGGGAAATGTTCCATCTTCTTGTATTTTCTAAAAGAGTTTGTATAGAGGCACTGGCTGGCTGAGTCAGTGGAGCATGCAACTCTTGGTCTCAGGACTGTGAGTTCGAGCCCCACGTTGGACATGGAGCCTATTGAAAATAGCAATAATAATAATAATAATAAATAAAAGAGTTTATATAAAATTGAAATAACTTCTTGCTTAAATGTTCAGTATAATTCATTATGGAGATCACCTGGGTGGGCCTGCCATTTTCTTTGTAGAGAGTTTTTACGATGTTTTTATTGAGATATAATTCATATACCATAAAATTCACCCACTTAAATGACCAATTCAATGATTTTTAATATATTTACAGA